GAATCTCAGACTGGGGATTTAGAAATATCAGACTGGGAGGCTACGGAATCTTTTGGCAGAGGAGGGGTACCTTATCAAATAAGTAATTATAACATAAACATCCAGTGTGACACAGACAGTATCAAATAGCAGTCATAACAATCTTCTTCGTCGAGATATGTAACTTCATGAAGACTAAACCAGGGGGTAGTTACAGTGAAGATAGTTATAAATGAGGGCTATATAGTGCTTAAAATATACCATATTTACCTATGTTTTTCTTTTCACATTTTTGTATATACGTATGTAGATTGTGTACAGTAGATACTAACACTGATATTTTTACTTTTACAGAGTTAATACTCACTCTGACACTAATTGTAATGTTAATACTGAGTACATACTAATACTTACTGTATATGAAAAGTTTATACGAGTTTGCACTGCTACTAATATTGATACTGCTACTTATATTAATACTGATACTAATATTAATACTGATAGTAATATTGATGCAGAGCTGATACTAAAACAGGTACTTATACTAATATTACTTACTACTCGGTTCTGATGTTAACACCAATTCCATACTGATAATGATACTAATACTCACTGCATATTGATGATACTAATGCTAATACCAAACCATACTGATACTAATACTAGTACTAATATAATACTAAAACCTGAGGTTAAACTTGACATAACCTGGTGGAAGGTTATCAGATTACAAGAACAGCACACTTTTATACCCACATGTGAATACACAAGTATACATTTGAAAATTAATTTTTTTTTTACATGGACGCATAAAATGCAGTTGCTCATACTTTTTCTTTTTGTAAATTTTTTTTGTTTCATTTCAAAATCTAATTTGAGCCACAGTGACCTTATTTACATATGCTAATTGCCTTAACATATTTCAAACAACTCTTTAAGTCTTTTTTTGTATTTTTCACTATCAAGATTTATCAAAGTATATGACAACATGCCAACTATCCTTTCATAATTTTTGAATCCACAGTTATACTTATTACTAACGAAGCAAATTAGTTCTCGGAAAATTATTTATCTGTTTTGTTTTTGATTGTATTGAATTATTACCATAACAGAAACTGAAATGGTAGTATGTTCTAAAACAGAAAACAAATATTACACAGGAGAAATGCACTATTATAGAAAGAACATATTTTAGTGGCACCATTATGTACACAAACTTTGAGTTATTCTGTGAGGGCAACTTTTCAGATCTATGGCTGTGTAGCTCCTAGTATTGGCGATCCAGAGGTAAGGAACCAGAGGGGAGTGGGGGGAGGGAGGAAGGGGTTTGGGGTGGGGAGAGTGCTGTCAATGTGACTGGTATTCCTGGGAAATCTTGGACTTTGCCTTACCTTACATGGTGGTCATGGTGTATTGTGGGTTCTCTGTCTTAGACCAGGTTTCACAAAAGGACTTAAGACTGGAATTTGATCTTACCTCAAAGACCCCATTCCCAGAGATAAGATCGATCCAACTAGATTGACCTAACTCCCTGGGGGTTCATGCTAAATAGCTGTCAGCCGAGCCGGCACAAAAGTTAATTACCCCCTTACAGCTTGTAGTAGGCGGGACAGACATTTAAGCCGGATTATCTGACAGTAATCTAGTGAGACACCCCATGGGGATAGATCGATCTAAAATCTATGGGAATGCACCCTAAGACTAAAGATGTTGGTCTTTGAAAACTTAAAAGTTTAAGGCCGAAATTTTTGATTTATTTTCATCTAATGAACTATTGGTCTTAAACATGGACTATTTCTATTTCTTAACAAAGTGCTATTACTGGACTAGCCTTGGCTTAATAAGTAGACTAATGATATCATTTTAGAAGTAAAGACCAACTCTCTGTCTTTCAGTGTTTTGTGAAACAACCCAGTGAAGTCTCAAATGAGTTGAGTTTACCCTGAGTGTCTAAGGCTATTGGAGACTCTCCTCTAATTATATTATAATCTGCAACAGCTGGTTTTCTAACCTTGGGAAACAGGGTCTGGGTGCTTGTTACAGAGGAGAGTTTCTAATGGAATATATACAGTAATGTTTTGACATTACCTATAAGACTGTTTTGAGCTGGGTTCTCCTCAACTTTTCTCTCTTCATATTGTCCATGTACACTTTGACACATGTTATACACTACAGGGCCAGGAAAACCAAAGGTGTGCATGCATGCTTGTGTGTGTGTATCTCTATCTCTCTTTTTCCCCCTCTCTGTCATCTGTTATTCTCTCCCTCTCCTTTCTCTCAAGCATAACCAATCTCTCTCTCTCTCTCTCTCTCTGTGTGTGTGTGTTTGTGTGTATGTGTTTATGTTTGTGTGTGCGTGTGGGTTTCTCTGCATGTGTGTATATGCATATTCTCAGACATGGGGAGAACTTATAATTAAGAGGTACTGAAAATCCAAAGGACCTACACTACAAGAAATCTGCAGTTCCTCTGTTGGTCAGAATTATTTTTGTTACTCTGTGTTTACATGTGATTCATTGTAGTTTATTATAAATTCACATAAACCCTGCCAGTCCAGAGGAGCTGCAATATCAAAAAATCTTGCAGGACCCCTGGCATTTCTATCAGTCATGACTTGCTGCTGGTTAATTAATTAGGCAGTTTCCCATGTCTGTATTCTGTAAGTTTGAATATATACAACTGTGTATTCAAATGTAAGTGATCACCTGTGTAGTATTATACATGTATAATATGATGGTTTCTCCTATGCTGGTAGCTTGGAAGTAGTTCAGCTATTATTAACTGCCATGAAATCAGTAAATACAGTAACTATTTGAGCATGAAGCTTTTTGGGGATACTTTTTGCTGTTGCTTTCAAATTAACACAAAAGGTTTTAGTAGTATATTTGGCCTCTTAAAAATGACATACGTACTCAGTTTGGATTAAAAGAAAGTCATATTTTTACATTTACACTCTGGTATATTTCTGGTGTTCTCGCTTGTTCACATTAATGTAAGTGCTTTAAAACATACACATGCACAAACATGTACAAATAACAGGATCAGCAGGCAAAATTAGATATTAAATATTTCTTAAGGGGTTATCATAGGCCCGTAGCCAGCAATTTCAAAAGGGGGGCTCGTTTTCTGAAAAGTGGACCTTTTTCCATTAAAACATCATGTAACTAGATCAAATTTTACCCAGAGTGGACCTTTTCCCAGCAAAAGGGGCGGTTCTTTCGAACCCCCCGAACCCCCTTGGCTACGGGCCTGAAAATATTATATAGTCTTGGAGATAAACCTGTCTCTCACCTTTTGTAGTATTCACTAAGCTTGGGGCCAGGTCAGAATGTTTTATTTTTTTAAACTATTAAATATTTTAAATAGATATATTAACATATATCTAGGAGCAATTTTTGCTAAATGTGGACCTTTACTAATATTTTCAGTACTTATGAACTTGGAAAAAATTATACATGATCTCAGTAAATCAGTTGAGGTAAAATTGTTTATACAGATGCTGTCCTTTGTAGACAGAACTAATGTTAGTCTATGGAAAATTCTGTGACTGGATTATGAGAAACAGCCTGAGGAAAGTGAAAAGTTTTAAGTGTGTTAAAATAGTATTGATTAAAGAGTTGATAAAAAATTGTCCATGAAATTGTTCATCTGCTTAAAAACTTGAGAAAGCATGTTTGTGATTGGGTTAAAAAGTCAAATTTAAAATTCTTCTGTTTGGGGTATTTATTTTACAAGAAGCAGATCTGTTGCAGCCATATGAATTATCTTATTACTATCATGAATGAATATGATCAAACATAAGCCAAAAAAAAAAACAAAACAAAAAACTTTCATATCATCAGCTTATGGCCAAGCTGGACATAGGCCTTCATTAGACTTATGTGAGCAGATAATGGTATGAAGGTTTTTTGGCTTGTGTTTGATAATTTCTTTTATGATCCAACTACCAAGCTAATGAACATTTTTGCATATTTCATTACTGTATTTAAAAATGAGAGTAGCACAATATTCTCTCAATGTGTGAGTTTGCTGAGGTTTTGTCTGCTGTGTTGAGGTTTGTCTGCTAGTGGATAAAGAGAAAAGACCCAGACTTTAGACTACAAAAACTACAAAAAATATCCATGATACTGCAAGGAAATTCCATGAAGATTATTTAGTTATAAGTGATGTTTCATTCTGGACTTTTTTCATTAAAAAGTTAGTGTACCTTATATATCTCATGGATGTGAATATAATGAATACATTCATCATATAATGAATTTCATAATTTAGATTATTAATAAATAGGATTTCATTTATCTTATAATTCCAGATCTATGATGCAGGTGATTTCTCTCTGCTGTGTTCAGAGTCTGCCAGAACGGGAGAGAGGTGGTCAGGCGGAGAGTTCATCGCCGTGGACAAAGTCATTGTGTGGAGCAGTGAGGGGAAGGGATATCTCTACAAACTGCCCATGAAGTGAGTACAAGATGTGTGTGTGTGTGTGTGTGTGTGTGTGCATGTGTGTGTGTATGTACATGTGCTTGCTTGAATGCCTGTGTACTTTTATCAGGGTTTAGTGATTGTTGGCATCTGTGCTCATGTGTGTGTGTGTGTGTCTGTGTATGTCAACTTTGTATGTGTTTGCGCTTACGTACGTACAAGCATGCATAAATGTGCTTTAGTTTGTGTGTGTTGGTATGATCTGTGTGTGTGTGTGTGTGTGTGTGTGTGTGTGTGTGTTGGTATGATCTGTGTGTGTGTGATGGAATATGAGTAAAAATCTGCTTTGCATTATTGTTTGTACAAACTTGTGCATATATATATATATACATAGTGTGTGTCTGTTAATGTTTTTAAGAAAATTTGAGTCTACTTTTATATATTTAAATCCAGTATCTAATCAGATTAGTAAAATGAGTGAGATACAATAATTATTATTTCAGATGTAACATTGTTATTTTTATCATGTACTTTTATAAATTACTGCCTGTTTTGGTTTGAGAAACATTCATCATTCATTTTCATTACAGTCTTATTTTATTGGGTTAGAAATGCTTTGAAAGATATTTGTTAGTAAATTAGCTTATTAATTTTGATATATTGCATTTTTTTTGCAACAGTATGAGCTATCATTGTCATATCAGTAAGACATTCCATGAATAAACACGATGCTAGATAAAGAAAATGTTATGATTGGCTTTAATATCATTATAAAAAATGCAATAATATAGTAATTAACAGTCATAGCAATATGGATAATTGATTGCTAAATGAAAATTCTACGAGGCCTAAATATGGAAAAAAATTGCAGAAATCTTGTGAATTTTGTAAGAAAATTTTCAAAAGAGAGAGAAAGAATAATGCAGTATTGTTATTTGATCCCTGTTGAGAAGCTGCCTAGATCTTTACCCCACAGAGTGAGTAACCAATAGTATAGTAGTTAGCCCAGTATAGTATATTGTTTTATATGACTCAATATGGATCACACATAGCTCAATATATTGTTTTATATGATTCAGTATGGATTGTGCATAGCTCAATATATTGTCTTATATGATTCAATATGGATCACCATAGCCAGATTGACCTCGTACCTGGAAATCGGGCAAAAAATTTGAAGTGACTTACCCTCTTTTCCAGTCCAGGAAAAGTAAAAAAAAAAAAAAAATCAGAAATAGTCCCTATAATTGGGGAAAAATCAAGGAATTGTGCTCAGTAGTACTCTCTCCAATTTTGTACCCACCAAACAGCAATTGTCTACTAGATATCTTATGTCAAAATTATGGTCTTGGAAATTTTTTACTTCAAACATGGAATTTTGTTCCCCCATATATATATATATATATTGGATTCTGTAATTCACAATGTTGGCTCCATATGGATTACATATAGTGCAATATATTGGATTATGTATGATTGGGTAGTTTATTCTTGACCCACATTTACAGCCTTCTAGCTATAGATTAGAACGAGAGAGGAGTCCAATTTAAAAGGGTCATTACAGTACCTTTGCACAGAATGGAGATAGTTTTCATTTATTTAAGATGGTATTTGTTTTTGTCATATAGGCACCAATAAGATATGAATTATATGCACTCAATGTTGAAGGAGTTTTATGTACAGACATTGTAATTGTTAGTTTGGAATCTGTTGAATTCTGTTCTGTATTCTGCCTGTCCATGTTGTCTCTGTCACTGTGAAATTCATTGTAATTGTTCATGGTACTGGGGTGAAAATTGACGAAATTATACAGAATCTTTCACTTTTTAACCATAATGATTCATCTTGTTGAAACATCTGACACTGTTCAGTACGTTTCTTGGATTTGTTTTTGTACAATGTCTGTATATCTGCCAGCCATGCTGTCTACTTTCAGTATCCTCTACAAGTTAATGGGCTGATTTGCACTGAATGTCTAATTATAGTAATAGTTTGGTAAAAGGCACAGTTTAGCTTTATCCAAAATATATTTGAAATTTCATTTAAATATCAAGAAATAAATCATTTGGTTTTATTTTACATTTTTTTTATTTCCATGGTGATTTGGTATCTCATAAAATGCTTTAGACTGAGTGTTGGGAAATATTTGCTCAGTTTTTAGCTATTATTTTGTTAGTTTATTATTTATTTATTTATTTATTTAGACTAGACAATTTTGTTCAGGTACTGGTGTCGCACTGAATGTGTATGTTATATGTCAGTACAAAAAGAAAAAAATTCTAAGAAATGTCGCTTGTTACATGTGTATTTATGGTTTTACACTCATTGGTATTTGTTACTCAAGTATGATGCGTAAATCTCTGATAAAATTAGTTTTCAGATTTTAATGTTGGTAGCCAATATTATTTTAAAGACGAAATCTTTGATTTACAATTGTATACAATTTAAAACAGTATGTTAAAAAAGCTATCTCTAAGTGTGCACGTGTAACAGTCCTGTCTTGTTTGTTGTTGTCATGGTGATGGTTTTCAAGATGTACGTGTGCTGTTTGTTCTTCTCTCTTTACATGTTGAGACTCTTACAGTCATGACTTGAAATAATATCATGTTGTATTTGTTTTTAATGAGAAATGTTACTGTCTTGTGTAATGTGATTGTCTGGAATGTTGTGCTATGTAATTGTGTGTTTTTTACTGCTGACTTGTTTTCTAGATGAAGTGGTATCAGATATGTTTTGAACATTGTCTGAACTGGTCCTCTTTAAGAGATTTTAAACTTTTTTGTTGTTGTTGTTGTCTCATTTTTTATGAAGAATTTTATGAAACCCTGAACACATATTTGTTTCATTTTAAGTTTGTATACTGCACAGTGTGTTGCCTCTTGGAATCTTTGAACAAAATATATACTTTTTTCTCCTAAGTTTATGAACTGCTGAAATGTATTTTTTTTTCTTCAGATAAGGCTACAATGATATGTGAAATTGTTGTTTGATAATTTGAATATTGATGTATAATTTGAGGATTTAAACTGAAACACAAGGGCTCACAGTGGTCATATGTTCATTTTTATTCCTCATTTTTAATTCTTTTAATTTCCACTCTTTAATGTCTTACACCACCATGCTTTGTGAAGTTATTTAAAATTTAACCCCTGTTTTATTTCCCGTCCTATTCCTTAAAGTCTACTAAAGGGCAAGGTGCTGCAGAGGTAAGATGAAGACAAGATGATGCTATTTTTATTTAATACAAGGTTCAAAATCAACAGTTGATCCAGGGAGACCCCAGGGGAGAGGGGGGGGAGGACATGGAGGGGGGGGGGGGGCACTTAGCAGCCAGGGTTTACCTTCACTTTTAACTTCCTGAAAAATGCTCAGACATACATACTGTTTATTCTCATTTGGCAAGAAAAAAATTGAAATGTTGTTCTTGTTTGTTGTATCCAATTCAAAATGTAACATAAAAGTATGCATTTTTGGCGAAATTCAGCAAAGTTTAGTGGAATAAATATTTTGGCTAGAAAGAAATTTTATTATCTTTTGATGAGTGCAATTGTTGCCATGGCAACTATCAAAAGTATCATTCTGGATCTGCTGTTGAGTTGTCTTTGGACAGTTTGTTCATTGGTCTAGTTTTTGGTTCAAACTGCTTTTTGTGTTTTTCCAAGGTGAAAATGAAATATGACAAAGCAGAATGGGTTTTGATGGGAAATATTTATTATTTTCAGCTTAGTTCTAAAACAGATGTTGCAGAGGTAAAATTCATCATAAAAATGAAGTAATTATTATGGTCACAAATTAAAGTGAATTATATAAATTTGCTGCAGAAGTCATATTTCATTCTATGAAGAACTATAGCCATGCTTCTGATAATGGTCATATCTGCCATCTTGATGAATGTCACAGCTTTAGATTGTGAATTGTTGATTCTACACTCTTACCAAAGCTTTTTTAAAGGAGAAATCAACAGTTTGGATTTGTCTAAGGATAAAGTTACTTATTGTGTTAACTGCAAAGCTGAACTAAAAAATTAAGCAAAGTTCTTATTTGAAACTACTAGTATCCTTTGTTCATGCGGGCTGTTTGACAATTCCCAAGAAGGTCAAAGGTAAAAAATATGGTCACAATATTATTGTCAGTTAGAAAACTGCATGATTGATGAGATTTTTAAAAACTGAATATGCATATCCAGTGACATGTTGTCATTTTTTCTGCGTCTGAAGCTGTGACATAAGTATAGGTGGCAGTGCAGTGCAGTCCCAGGGTTGAATTTTTCATTGTATTTAATTGTTTCTACAGGCACTTTGTTATGGTGTCTTAATTTTGTTTTATTGTTCATTATTTACTTTGTTGGATAGACTTTTTCTTTGCATGTAAGGGAATGTTGAAACAAAGTCCTGGCATGTAAAAAAATTCTCTTTTTTTATGCTGGATTGTTGTTCTTTCTCTCTTCTTAAGCTTGGACAGGTGGTTTTTTGGTTGTGGTTTCAAAATGTTAGAAATTATTAACAGGGTTGCCAATGCCGTGCATTACAACGTATTCTACACAATTTATATAGTCAATTATTACTTGATACTTTGATAAAATGGCCCAGCATATAGCTTGCAATTCCAGTTGGGGGTCTTTTTTTTCGAAAAAAAAAGTGCACTTTTTTATATGTTCAAAGTTATTAAGAGATCAACTTTTAATTCAAAGCACACATTTTCTGGTCAAAAGGGGCATCTCTTTTGACCCCCCTGAACCTGGCTTCCTGCTTACAGATCTGAATGGAAACAAGACCTTCTACTATATACATGCTGAGTACAGAAAGGAAGGCAGCCCTTGTTAATTTATACATTGGTTGTTTTTTTTTTTTTTTCCTCGAAAAATTTTTTAATCAGAATTGCTTGAATACAATGCATGGATGCTCTCTGATAATTGGATCTTTGTAATTTGCCATCTTTGAATTTCTGTACCCAACCATTTTGAGCTTGTATCTGGTAATGAAAAAGTTATTTTGATCCTATTCTGAAAAAAAAAAGGTGGATGGGTGGGAGAGAGAAATGGATGTGTCATTTGGAAAGAAAAATGAAATCTTCAGATTATTGACCAGATTTCAGATTTTTTAAAAGCTTAGGGCTCCATTTTTTTTACAATATCATAACAAAGATATGTATATGTTTACCATGCTTTTTATTGCTTTTGTCAGTGTTGCTACCAAGTATGGTAATTACTCTTAATCACATCCCACGGAAAGCAATTATGTTTTTATCACATAAACAATAATACTTTCATTAAATATCTGAACTTGATGATTTAAAGGGTCTAGAAATGGAGTTTGTTTCATGTCTAAGACTATACTTTTATGAGTAAGTGAAAATGACAAAAAAAAAAAAAAGACTAAAAAGTGATATGTTTAAAGTCAAATATTCTAAGTATTGAGTAATTACCATGCACAGAAGGCAGATGTGTGGTTTATGGCTGTTGCACATCTGTTCAGTTATTGCAATTTGTGGATGTGTTGTAGAAGGGGCATTTGGATCATCATGGTATGATATGCCACCTATAGCTTGGTGCACAAACAAGACTGCATCAGAAAAACAAACAACACAAACAAACAACACAAAACCAAAAAAAAAAATTAATTCAAATACCCCACAAACAACAACAGACAAACAAATAAAGATGTTCCTTTCATTTACAGAATCATAGAATCTGGTGCTTGGTACTGCTTCTTATTTCTTTATTTATATTTGATATTTGACCTCATAACTTGTATTCCTTTTACTCCCCTGTTCCCGCTGGGCTCTCTGACTGGTAGATCTAAGAAAACCACTCTTTATAATTGTAATTTGCCCATCCAAGGATGAAATTTATAAAATACAGAATCCCGTGAACTGGATAATTATTCAATATCAATATAAAGTAATGAACATGTTCCTAAAGTCCTTGCTAGTCAAATTGGCCTTAGTTACTGAAAAATCCAATACTTGACAAGTCTGTTACTAAATCTACCAGTCAGTTACCTTGGAGCAGTGGTTGGCAGATGTTAGTTCTGGAGCTTTGGTGGATGTTTTGTTTTTGTGACATCTTATTGTTATCCGTACAAATTGCACATGTCTTTGTTTTTATTGCAACTACAGGTTGTTTGTTTGTGACTCCATTTGAAATTTTTGCAGCATGTAGATCAGTTATGAGTACTTACAAATCTGCTTGAAGATTGGAGAAGAGACTAATACATATATTCATTATTATTTTCTAGTGCTAACCCCAAGAGTCAAGAATTTCGTAAAATGGTGGGGAACGTGGTAAAGGAAAACGCAGCCCCCATGACGTATGGTGTTCTGGATGTGTTGCAGGAGCAGGTAAATTGTGTCATGTCTGTCATGATGGGCTACAACTAAAGCCTTTGGGAGCATTCATATCGAGAAGAGCCGAGGTCTAGTAAGGCCGCGACCTAAATATAGCAGACCTTCATGAAGGAAAGGAAGATCGCTAATCTTTTAATGGTCTCTCCGCCTCTCACACGCCCCCCACGCGTTGTCCCTCGACCAGTTGAATTGAGCTGAGATTTAATTACTGTACTGCTGCAGGGACGACGCGTGGTGAGGATTAACAGGATTAGTGGTCTTCCTTTCATGTAAGTCCGCCATATTTAGGTCGTGGCCTTACTAGACCTCGGCTCTTCTCAGTGTGAAGGCACCCATTGTTTCACATTTAAAGCTGGTGCCCTATCTAAAGTAATACACTGTATGGCATTATATGTGATAGACACTATTCAGCTAATGCAGTGTGTCATCTGTTTTTTAACTTACAGGGTTTATTGTATTGTCTGTGCAAAATATAGTAAATGCGTAATTATATGAAAAGATAATGTCACAGTGTTTAAACTAAGATTAAGTCACTTGACATTATCATTTCAAATGAATTTCCAATAAAAAATTTAAAATAGTATTTCAGAAGGCAATCTGTTACGTTTAAGAAAATTTTTGTCACATTTAATGCAGAACACATTTGAAAGCACACAAATTTCAAACATGCAATCATTTTCCCCCAGAAACTGGTCTGTTCCCCAGCAATGACCTACTTCTTTGGCACGATGTGGAAGCAGCAGAAGATGTTACTGCGCGGGGACTCTGAGGGGAGAATCGTGGTCTGGTGCATTCCTGAGGTCACAGAGCAGCAGATGACACTGGTGAGACAGGAGAGTTTTGATAGGCTGCCAGGTATGTGAGGGTTCTTATGTCAAGAAATTGATTTTGATAACATCAGACTCGAGAGATGAATGGTGATTTGAAATCAGTTTTTTAAAACAAAATCTAGGTCTATTTCTAACAGTATCTGTCAGAAGCTACCAGTATGATCACATTGCTACATGTACCTCCTGGCTGGTCGATGTTAATTGAATTGTAATTATACCCTTGGCAATTTATCAGGTTTACTGCAAATTTGCAATGAATTTGCAGCAAATTTGCTGCAAACTGCAATTCCTTCTTGCAAGTTTGCAGCAGATTTGCTGCAATATAGTTGCAAACCCGTTGCTGCAAATGCTTCCATTTTGCAAAGGGTAATGACACATACATCTGGGCCAGATGAACATTCACCTAAACAGGCTGATTGGGTTCTACAAATTGAAATAAAATTTTCAAACAGACATATAAAAGTACATTTGTTTGGAAGATTTTTGAGGTGAAATGAAGTATTTATGAGTCATGTTTTCTAAACTTTCAGCTGTCCACCCCAAGGCCAGCTTGACCCTCCAGGAGGCCTGGGACTCACTGGACACTTCTCCTGTGGGGATACTGGACTTACTGGTCAGTGGGGGTCACCTGGGGGAGAGTGAGAGAGAGAGAGAGATGGAAAAGAGATTGACTGAGAGAAAGAGAGAGGTGGAAGTGTGTGTGTGCATGCATGTGTGTGTGTGTGTGTATGAGAGAGGGAGAGGGAGAGGAGTGTTTGCGTATGTGTGTGTGAGAGAGAGAGGTAGGGAGTGTGTGTGTGCCATTAGTGTGACAAAGGGAGTGTGAGGTGTGTGTGTGTGTGTGTGTGTGAAAAAGAGGAGAAAGAGAGAGAGAAAGGGAGCAAGGCATTCAGAAGCATTTCATACATACTGTATATGTATATCACAGTTTGATTACTATTCTCCCACGGTTCCAGTCTAATGAAGGAGAGAAGCCCCAGCAGATCACAGCCACCATCTACATCCCCTCCCAGGGACGGCTGGTATGTGGGCGGGAGGATGGTTCCATCGTTATTGTCCCCGCCACACAGAGTGTTATCATGCAACTTCTGGACTCCAAACACAAGATCAAACATGGTCAGTTTAAGGCCATTTATAAATTTTCAGAAAACACGTGAAATAAAATATATTAAAATTTAAAAGAGCAAATTAAAAGATGAAGAAGAAAAGAGGAAGATACTATAGTGCTGAAAGAATAACCCTCTTCTTGAAGAAGCATTAAGATTGGAGTGATTATTTTTTGACAGATATTTTTAAAATCTTGTATTTGAAAGACATATTAATGACTTTTTATAATCCAACAGTGAATACCCGGTTAAATAAGATAAATGTTTCTTATCATCTCAGACCATGCTGTCCACAAGGTACTAGATGGACACAAGGGCCGAGTGACTGCCCTGTTGTACCCATTCAATGACGGAGCACGCTACGAGCCCCAGCACCTTGTCTCCGGTGGAGCAGACTTCTGTGTATTTCTATGGGACATCTACACTGGGATCAAGCTCCACACATTTACTGTCCATGGTGGAGAGATTACACAGCTTATGGTGCCTCCAGATGGGTGTAACGTAAGAACATCTTCCTAGTTTACTCTTGCTTGTTTATTACTGAACCAGGTTAAATATAAAAACGGAGCAATTTTGAAGGTTGCAATCTGATATTGCTTGGCGCAGCTAATAAGTACCTTTAACAGACTAGTATGTGATGATGATCTAGATTTTCAACTTCAGTGAAGTGAGCCAGCACTTTCAATGTGATTTTGAAAGTGTTATTACTTGTTTTATTCTGTAGTGTCTTATTTTCAGCCTAGTAAAAGTATAAATATTGCTTGCTTCCATAGGCTCGTATACAACCCTGCATCTGTTCAGTGGCAAGTGACCATTCTGTGGCTCTCCTGAGTTTGAAGGAAAGAAAATGTATCACGATGGCTAGCCGCCACATGTTTCCAGTGCAGACCATCAAGTGGCGCCCCCTGGATGACTTCATGGTGGTAGGCTGCACAGATGGCACAGTGTATGTGTGGCAGATGGAAACAGGTCAGAGAATAGCTGGGACAGAATTCCTTAAAATAATAATAACCATTATAATACGAGAAATAAATAATAATAATTATAATGATAATAGAATTATTATACAGTATTACGTTTATGATATTGAAAATTGTTGTTATTTTGAAAGGTAAATATCGGGATAATTTTTGCGTAAGAAGTAATTTTTTAAAAAAATAATAATAATTCTGTATTTTATATGACTGAGTTAAATGTGTCATAAAAAATTACATTAAATTAATAATCATAGTATTGTCGTGTAAGCCCTTATTTTTGTCATACAACATGCCACAGAGGTCATCTAGTTGATTCTAAAATTTCAGCTGTTGATAAATCTTCAGGTCCAATAAATGGAGCAAATCACCTTTTAAATATGAAACAAATTTGACAGCTAAATCCTGTAGGACCAAAAAATTTTCAAAATTACAATTACAAAACAGGCACCTGAACTTATTTTATAATTCTCTGTATTTTGTAGGTCACCTGGACCGTGTTGTCCATGGTACCACGGCTGTGGACATCCTTCATGCCTGTGACGAGATGATGAAGGCGGAGGGTCACTCTGTGCACCACAGTGAGTCTCTGGTCAACCCCACCATCAGCATAGCTCAGGCATTCAGGAGGAGAAACCTGGCCACCTTCAAGAACTTAGCTGAGCAGAAATTTAAGGTAGGTGTCTATCTTTGATGTCAAAACTCAATATTTAGAAACATGTACAGTCATTTGGCCTATAAGATATGGATAAATGAAATATGAGTTCCTGATGTTATTTGAGAAATTTGGTATCATTGTATTGCAGATGCAAAGGATTTAAACTTGCACGTCATGCATGAAATTCCTTTTCAACTCAAACAGCTGAATCAGATAAGATTGCTAGTTTTACTGACATGAGTCATATACTGAGAGTTACTCTGACAAAGCTTACATTCATTTTCTGTGATGTTACATTTTGTAACATTGTGACACATTTTGTTATTGCATTTATAGCATATTTTGTTAAATTTATAATACATTTTGTGACATATATAACACATTTGGCTATTATATTTATAGCACATTTTGTTACATTTAAGCACATTTTGTGTTATAACAATATTTTTCTTCTCTCCCAGCAGATCAACCAGCCAGGCTCGGATCCTACCCGTAATCGTACTGACCTCAGTGGTAAAACTCAGGCCTTCCCCATGATGATACAGGGCATCAAAGCCAACCTCAGAGACCCTGAGTCACATGTTCTCTTCTTTGATACAGAGGCTCTCATAGGTTAGTTTTACTCTTTGATTTGAAACAGAGGCTCTCATAGGACAGTTTATTTCTTTGCTTTGAAAGATAGGCTCTCATAGTCAGTTTTACTCTTTGATTTGAGACAGAGGCTCTCACAGGTCAGTTTTTCTCTTTGGATTGAAACAGACTACCGTAGGTCAGTTTTAACCCAGTAGGAATTTTACCATGCAATGGAGTCCTACCATAGTGCTGCAATTTTGCAGAGATCTAAATGCTTTCTTGCACACTTGCCACAAAGAATAAATGCTCTAACTTGCAAATTTGCTGCAAATTTTTCATGTTTGCTAAGGCAATTGTATAATTGAGTCATTCTCACAGATACTATAATTATTTTTTATCATTAAATGTTTTTCTCTAATTATGGCAATCAAGAAGAATAAAAGCCCTCTCAAGTGCAATTTACTAGCAAAATGTGGCTCTGTTCTCTTAGATATTGTTTGAAACTTTCAGTACAATTACTAAGTGATGAATATGCAGCCATGTCTCCAGGCACCATGGAGGCGCATGGTATAAAGACCATATCCCAGCATTCCCAGTCAGAGCAGAAGACGGGCACTGATGAAATAAAGCAGAAATTTGAAGGTTTGTTGTTTGAATTATGATGATTGTTTTAGTTTCTGTGAAGAGCATTAGTAAAAATATGGAAGTCATTATTGTTAAATATTATGAAAATATGATGAATTTGACAATTTCTTTGAAGATCAGAAATGAATATGATAGATTTTGTATGTTAGTGGTTAATTTGATTGAGATATTTCAGAAAACAATTCACAGCTACTTAAAAAAAAAACAGATTTTGATTATTTTGATATCAATTAAGTTTCAATGAAATTGCTGTCTGCTAGACTATAGGATTGTTTTTTAGTGCACACAATTTTAAACTTGTGCTTTGCTTTCATGTTATAGTTGCTTTTATTTATTATAAGATTGTCTATCAGCTTTTAGGCTTTTTGCTTTGGCAAGTAGTTTTTATTTTATTGAAATTTTAGAGTGTCGATGATGATAGGCTGTGATGTCAAATGAACTAATGCTTCATTTGTCAACAATTTAGAGCACCAATTAGCTTCAATGCCCTTGCTTTCATTCTGTTATATTTTGTAGCAGTTTCTGAATTAGCCTCATTTCACCACATCATGGTGCTGGCGGCACCGTTCCTGCAGGGCTATTGGCCGTGTGGTGAGACTGCGTGCTGTGAACCCCGCCAGCATGGTGTACAGTTCTCCATTATGTGAAAATATCCACAGTTTTAGTTAGCCATGATATGAAATACCTGTTATCTTAAGTTATTAATTATATAAAGATATCCATGAAATCAGTTATCCACAATATTTATTTATTCTTGCTCTTTACCCCACCAGCATGTTTCTTAAAGTTATCAAAATTATTATGTTCAGCTTACCAGGTATCGATGGTAAAAAGTTCAGTGATATATATAGTTAATATCCAAGATAAACACTTATCCATGATAAAAAATTATGCATGATATAAAGTTCCCTGTTATATGATATATTAAAATTTTTCTGTTTTTCCCCCCAAATATTGAACTTCATTATAGTATTTTATACAACAAAAAAGTTTTACTTATTTAAACATGTACTGCTGTTTTAGGAGATAAAAGTCAACCATTTGATATTTTATAAATGTAAAATTTAAATGTAATATATTGTTGTGATGGTACAAAAATAAATAAATGAAATCTGTCAAAATGCATGTAATTTTTTAGAAGCTGCATATGAGCCATAACACTGTGTTTATGAACATAAGTGTGGTCCAAGTTGTTATATAATTTATCAGTATAATAGAAAAGTTTACAATTTATATCGTATGAGCATGATATTATTTCTTATATCAGGAATATAAAATGCCATTTTGCTTATAGTGTATGTTTGTGTGTGTTTGCATGCACCTGTTAGTGCATGTTATGTAAGTCAGAGTTAACAAATTGAATGTATTTGTGCTAAAATAAAAATAGTATGTTTATCATGTTATTTTTTATTTGTGTTCAGGTTTTCTAGCCAAGGTCAAGGACAAGGCAGAGAATGTTGGCCAGGAGATTCAGGCCAGAATGGAGGCTGCTGGGAAGCCTCACCATGCAGGCACTCACCGCCCTCACTACCATAAACACCATGAGAAAGGTGGCGCCACTCACAAGGGCAGAGGTAAACCACAACGGCCCTCACAGCCTCCACAGTATCACCACAGAAAGCATGCCCAGCGCAGGCCTAAAAATATCTATCTAACAGAGGGGAACCTGACCATGGAGATCGCCCAGTTGTTGATGTCCTGTCTTCATGCCTGGGGCTTAGACCCTGATCTGGACAAGTTGTGTATCAGCAAACTAGGCCTCCTGACACCTTTAGCGCCAATCTCCTTTGGCCTGATCTCCCGTGGGGGTCACATGTCCCTCCTCCTACCTGGCTGGCACAAGAAGCTCTGCCTCCAGTCTAAGCTTGTCTTGGACAAGAAGGGCAAGTCTGCAGAGCCCACTGCCTCGCCGGCGCTATCTGTTGACAGGGAAGCCCAGTTGTTCACCAGCAGAGCTCACTGGGAGGTGTCGGAGGCGGTGACCACCCAGCACCTGCTCTCTGTTATATCTATTGCTAACACTGTGATGAGTATGAACAGTGCCTCCTTCTTGGTGGGGAAATCTCCTGTCTCTTTGACAAGGTACTGGGTATAATATCTATATGATATCACTAAGGGTTGTGTTTAGAATTGATTACAGAGCACAAAAGGATTGTATTGGGAAATTGGTCAGCAGTACTTTCTAAGTCATAAAGCATGGTCAATGCTTCATAGTTGAAACTACGCATCATTTCATTTCATTTCTCAAATATATTGATTTTATCCATAGCTGTGTAATGTTTGAAAGAACCCAAGTAGTAATGACATAGATTTGGCATTTGGAATTTGTACAATTCAGTGTGAAATGAACTTCCTTCACAATTCCTTCCACAGGAAAATCTTTGACAGCCAAGGTTTGCTGATGTCACAGACATTCTCCAGCTCAGACGAGGATGATACAGATGGTACAAGCTCTGCAGACTCTATTGTCATTGAGCAGGCACAGACTAAGCAAGGCTGGAGCCTGCTGGCCACCCTGCACTGCGTCTTATTACCAGACTTGGTGGGCACCGACATGTACAAGAATCCCAAGCTACAAATGCTGGCCAGTAGGTGGCAGGACAGGTGCCTGGAGGTAAGGTCATGTGATGGTCAAGTGATGGTCATGTGATGATCATGTGATACCCAGTGTACCCCATGTAAAACAGTTACAGTGTACTCATTATGCAATCTTTATACATAGATTTGTGTGCAAGGTTTTAATACATCAAACATTACACGGAACTGGAATTGCCTGTTCACAGAATTGGAATTGCTTATACAGATAACTTGGACCACCTCACTAACACATTTTGTTGTTTTTCATAGATATGCATGGCATATGCTTACTAGTAATCAACTGATATCATTCCAGTATCATTTTGTTTGAGTAAAGTCTTCCCCATTTTATGTAGTTTAATGTTTCCCTTTATGTAGAAAGGTCTTGCAGTGATGGTTTCATAAAGTATATGAACAAGTTTTAACAAATATCCACATTGATTTTTAAGCTTAAATCTGGCATGTTCTATAACTATACTGGCACATGTAACATACTTATCACAGTCACAACTTTAAATATGCAAAGTCTTACTGTATGACAGATTTTACGCTTTATACTTTTCATGGAAACTCTTATTAGTGATACCTAGTGTACTTTGCATTTTTTAGTGTCACACTATAAACATGTTTCTAGATACATGCCAACCCTAACTTCTACTCTCAGCATTAGTGCTATCCCTTGACAAAATATTGTTGCAGCTTACACTGTTTGACAAACATCTAGCACTGCCAGGTTGCTCATAGCTAAGTCACTGACACATTTGTCACAGCTAACACACTGACACGTGTCACAGCTAACACGTTTGTCACAGCCAACGCATTTGTCACAGCTAACAAACTGAAACATGTCACAGCTAATACATGTCACAGCCAACACATTTGTCACAACTAACACACTGTCATGTTTGTAAAGCATATTGTTCCCTGTGTTTCTCTCAGCTTCAACTTCTATCCAGTATGTGGCAGCACCGCTCTGTACAGGTAAGGAACGGAAGAATTTGACCAGAGAAGGAGTGACATCTGGTGGCGATTTCTTGAAGTGTTTTGGTTGACAAATTTAGGTAGAAATTTGTTGAGGAATAATGAAGTAGATGTTTTTGTTCAAAGTGGGTTTCAGGGAAAGTAGAAAATAGATTTGTAACAGATCTGGTGATTTCCTGCGGTAAACGAAATTTGTTTCTTGAGAAGGCATTCTTTACCTTTGTTTTTAGTATGCAGATTATGACATAATTTCTGTCTTTTAACCTCAAAACAAATCAGAATTATAGTAATAAAACCCTTTTCCTCAGATGGGGTGATTATTATTACTATTATTATTTTTTTTACCATTCACAGGTTATGTATAATGGGCAATATTTTATCCTTACCTGCAACATGTTACCTCTGTTTCTGAAATCTTAATTTTATTTTTTTACCATCTTGCCTAAGGTAAACCATCCCAGAGCCTTCTTGCTGACGTCACAATTAAAATATGTCATTTTCATCTACAAAATTGTCTTAAACTGTCTTCTGTAAGTTAAAAAAAATTTTTCTCCATTGTCTTGCAAAATACTCCCCCTACATAATTATTGTCACCAGGATTTGTGTCACCTTTCTTTCCTTTTGCAAACCAGGGGCGGCTCCAGAGATGTTTTCTGACAGTCTTCCAAATTATCTTTGTTGATCAAGCCTCCTTATTTGACCATCTTCTGACAGAAGAAATTAGATACCCATCAATGTTAACTTGAAAACCTCACCATCTTTTGAAAGACCCAGAAGACGGCCTCAATTGCAAACAGTCCTATAAAGCCCACTACAGTGTGCCAAGAACCTATTACTAGTAGTTAGAAGAGAAATAGCATTTCATTGACTCAGTGATCTTTCAAATTTTTCCTTCCAGAGGATTTTCTGCAATATTGTTCTCTAAACTTCAACATTTATATTTTTCTGGCATGTTAACAATACATTCAAGAAAAAATATGCAAAGGGTTTCAATTTTAGATCAGGCAACATTTATTGAAAAATGCAAATAATCTATGCATTAGTTGCTTCTCTGGAATTAAATACCAATAATTATAAAGGGCTAATACTAGTAAAACAATTGTATAATTGTAAAATTAAGTACAGGGGATTCTTAAGTTGTTTTTTTTTTTTTTTTTTTTTTTTTTTGGGGGGGGGGTACTAATATGCGTGGTATTTTAAGTGTAATGAAGATTGATAAGTAAAATATGCTGTTGTAAGTGATAGTAGTATAATTATTTTTTGTTTTTGTAAAGTGCACAATAATATTTAGACATAGAGAGTACAGCAGAGCTGCCACTGCCACCTTTTGTTCAAACTGTGAAACATTTTTGTTTCAAGAATTATTATATTTTATCAGATGCACATTTTTTGTTTGCTGTATTTGAGATTATATTCTCCTTTTTGTTGTTATACAATTTGACTTGTCCTGATGCTTCTGTTTTATGTAATTATATATATTGCAGTGAATTGATTTTTTTTCTACCTAGCATGGAATGTTGTTGAACCAGACTAAACAGTGTTTATATGCTTGTTGCTTTTATTCCAGAAAATCTGTTTATGATAATAGAAACTGTTAATCTCAAATAAGTTTGAAGGTATTTCAGTGAATATTCCAAAATATTTAACATAAAAAATTTGATAATATAACAGCAATTTCTGGTTAAGCATAGAGTCTGACATAATTGGTAACTGTTATTCATATCAAGGAAAAAAGGTAACAATATATGAAAATGAAGAGAGAAAGAAAGAAAAAAGATTAAAAGATCAAGAAAAAGCAATAATTATGACCTTTGATATCACCAGATCCGTGAAGCTGCCCAAGCCCTCCTATTGGCTGAACTGAGGCGCCTTGGTCCTGAGGGTCGAAGGAAAGTGGTCCAAGAGTGGGCGCCATATTTACCCAATTACATCGACCCCAGTCTCGGTCCACAGGAAGTCCATGGTGCAGTGTCTTCTGGGAAAACTGAGGAGTTGCCTGAGGAGGAGGAGGAGGAGCAAGAGGATATCTCTGGTGAGGATATATCTGTTATAACCAAGGCTTTCATGTTTACCCTACTGTCACACCTAACACGTTACTGTCACATCTAACACATTACTGTCACATCTAAAACAGTGTCACATCTAACACAATGTAACACCTAACAATTTGGTATCACCTGTCACATTGGACTTACTCTGGGATCAAAGATTTAAACATATATCTAGTTAATTTTAGCTAATTTGTAATCAATATTCTAACCTAAAGCTTTTGAAATTATAGTACAATATTTTAACTTTATACATTCAAATAAGAATTTTTGAAGTCCATGTTATACTAGCAACATTGATATGACCACATGTTCTTCATAACAGAATTAAACATTCTCTTCTCATCCAGCACATTACCCTCTACCAGGGTGTCTGATAGATTTTTACAGATATTCACAGATATGTCTCTAGCTAGATAGATGGTCATTTTGAGCTGAAGTCACCCTGTTGAGGAATCTCAAGGCTGATTACATGGCTGGTAATTGTTTGCATAACTGCTCAGGCACTGCCACTTAGCAGGTCCAGTCTAAGTATGCGTGACAGCAATCAAGACAGTTAATTGCTCTGATTTCAATCACTTGCTCTTCTGTGACAGATAAAAAAGCCTTAGACTGGTTGCGTAACAAGCAGTTATCACATCATTGTGAAGCTCAGCTCATGCAGAGCAAGTACAGAGCCTTTGGCGCGCGCAGAGATAATTGTTTCCATATGGGATTCCTCAACAGGGTGACTTCAGCCCAAAATGACCATCTATCTAGCTAGAGACATATCTGTGAATATCTGTAAAAATCTATCAGTCGCCCTGGTAGAGCATACCAGCACATCATCACACATGCAAAATTCCAAAGTTGTCAACTTTGTGTGGTAGCGTTATCATCAGTTTTGGGGTAATTTCAGTATATGTTATGTACTATTACAAAAATAACAATGTCAGAGATCTTTTATTTGAATCCCAAACATTATCATGGTAGTAGCCACCTTTAATATCATATTTTTGAAGATATTTTACTCCTAACTTCAACACTTTCATACTTTCACTTTCATCACTTTAAATTACTAACAAATTGAATGTGTTTAATGTTTGCTGTTTTCTTTATTACTAACTACTGCTAACTGGGATGTGCATTGCTCTGACTTATTAAATTTATTTATTTATTTTTGGTGTTATACTAACATTGAATTATGTACCTGGTTTGCATTGTATGCTGAATGTTTTTGTAATTCTACTTTTTCTTTCTTTCTGTTGCACTGGATGTCTTGTCTTTCCTGTATTAATAAATTTTACTAACATTCAATTAATACTTCAGCTGCAGCAACCAAAGTCAAAAGGTCCAAAAGTTTAATATTGAGAAAAGGTAGCTTGAAAGGTAGCGTACAGAGTTCTAAATGCAGTGCATTTTTTTACTGTGGTTAAAATTATATATTTAATTTTGCAAAACTGATAATGGTTGATTTATATAATAAAGCAGCAAGATCTGTTGTTGGGTAAAAGGGGTTGCTTGAAATACATCTTAGTCTTTTGATTTAAGGCAAATAATTCCCAAACAGATGCAGTTCTATACCTTTCAATTTTCAGCATAGTTCTTATTGCCTTGATATTACCATCCAGAAAAGTTGGGCACCTCATCCCTAATCATTCCCAATTCTTTCTTGGTAGAGATAAGTGATTTGTCCTATCCCTCTATCCCCAATCTCTCCTTGCTACAGGTAACTGGTTCCTCCTATCCCTCTATCCCCAATCCTCTATTAGTACAGATAACTGGGTCCTCCTATCCCTCTATCCCCAATCCTCTATTAGTACAGATAACTGGGTCCTCCTATCCCTCTATCCCCAATCCTCTATTAGTACAGATAACTGGGTCCTCCTATCCCTCTATCCCCAATCCTCTATTAGTACAGATAACTGGGTCCTCCTATCCCTCTATCCCCAATCCTCTATTAGTACAGATAACTGGTTCCTCCTATCCCTCTATCCCCAATCCTCTATTAGTACAGATAACTGGGTCCTCCTATCCCTCTATCCCCAATCCTCTATTAGTACAGATAACTGGGTCCTCCTATCCCTCTATCCCCAATCCTCTATTAGTACAGATAACTGGGTCCTCCTATCCCTCTATCCCCAATCCTCTATTAGTACAGATAACTGGGTCCTCCTATCCCTCTATCCCCAATCCTCTATTAGTACAGATAACTGGTTCCTCCTATCCCTCTATCCCCAATCCTCTATTAGTACAGATAACTGGGTCCTCCTATCCCTCTATCCCCAATCCTCTATTAGTACAGATAACTGGGTCCTCCTATCCCTCTATCCCCAATCCTCTATTAGTACAGATAACTGGGTCCTCCTATCCCTCTATCCCCAATCCTCTATTAGTACAGATAACTGGGTCCTCCTATCCCTCTATCCCCAATCCTCTATTAGTACAGATAACTGGTTCCTCCTATCCCTCTATCCCCAATCCTCTATTAGTACAGATAACTGGGTCCTCCTATCCCTCTATCCCCAATCCTCTATTAGTACAGATAACTGGGTCCTCCTATCCCTCTATCCCCAATCCTCTATTAGTACAGATAACTGGGTCCTCCTATCCCTCTATCCCCAATCCTCTATTAGTACAGATAACTGGGTCCTCCTATCCCTCTATCCCCAATCCTCTATTAGTACAGATAACTGGTTCCTCCTATCCCTCTATCCCCAATCCTCTATTAGTACAGATAACTGGGTCCTCCTATCCCTCTATCCCCAATCCTCTATTAGTACAGATAACTAGTTCCTCCTATCCCTCTATACCCAATCCTCTATTAGTACAGATAACTGGGTCCTCCTATCCCTCTATCCCCAATCCTCTATTAGTACAGATAACTGGGTCCTCCTATCCCTCTATCCCCAATCCTCTATTAGTACAGATAACTGGGTCCTCCTATCCCTCTATCCCCAATCCTCTATTAGTACAGATAACTGGGTCCTCCTATCCCTCTATCCCCAATCCTCTATTAGTACAGATAACTGGGTCCTCCTATCCCTCTATCCCCAATCCTCTATTAGTACAGATAACTGGGTCCTCCTATCCCTCTATCCCCAATCCTCTATTAGTACAGATAACTGGGTCCTCCTATCCCTCTATCCCCAATCCTCTATTAGTACAGATAACTGGGTCCTCCTATCCCTCTATCCCCAATCCTCTATTAGTACAGATAACTGGGTCCTCCTATCCCTCTATCCCCAATCCTCTATTAGTACAGATAACTGGGTCCTCCTATCCCTCTATCCCCAATCCTCTATTAGTACAGATAACTGGGTCCTCCTATCCCTCTATCCCCAATCCTCTATTAGTACAGATAACTGGGTGCTCCTATCCCTCTTTCCCCAATCCTCTATTAGTACAGATAACTGGGTCCTCCTATCCCTCTATACCCAATCCTCTATTAGCACAGATAACTGGGTCCTCCTATCCCTCTTTCCCCAATCCTCTATTAGTACAGATAACTGGGTCCTCCTATCCCTCTATCCCCAATCCTCTATTAGTACAGATAACTGGGTGCTCCTATCCCTCTTTCCCCAATCCTCTATTAGTACAGATAACTGGGTCCTCCTATCCCTCTATACCCAATCCTCTATTAGTACAGATAACTGGGTCCTCCTATCCCTCTTTCCCCAATCCTCTATTAGTACAGATAACTGGGTCCTCCTATCCCTCTATCCCCAATCCTCTATTAGTACAGATAACTGGGTCCTCCTATCCCTCTTTCCCCAATCCTCTATTAGTACAGATAACTGGGTCCAGCTATCCCTCTATCCCCAATCCATCTGCAAACATGAAATTTTGATATATAAGTTAATTTTTTTTAATATGATTTATATCAATTATTTTCTGATTATATTATTTTGGGAAAATGAATATGCTTTCTGAGACATAGCAATCTTGCTGGGCAAGGTTGGGTTGGGTTGTAATGAAATTTTAGTGTCAGCTGTACTTTCATGGTAGTATAATCTTAAGTCTAGATAAATGCTTAATGAAAAATTGGAGAGTATGTAATGAATAATGTGGCCTAAATATGCAAATATTTTTTGTCCTAGTTTTCATTCTTTTAATATTTAAGATACAAGATTTGTAATTGAGAAATCATTTTCAGAAGTATTGCAGTGTTAAAAGAGCAAATGTGTTTCCTCATGGCATCTCAACTAACTATTCATTTTTATCTGCACAGTTTTAAGCAAGCATATTATTGTTGGTGGTGCTTAATTGTCAAGTCATGTTTCTTCTCAAGTTGGGTTGAACTAACTCTATGTTCAAAGGGCCATTGCAAATTAACCCTTGGCATAGCTGTGTAATGAACCTTTTACATATACATATGACGAATGTCCTAAACTTATATAAAATTTCTGTTTCACAAAAAAAAAAAAAAAAAAAAAAATCAAGTCTACACTTGCCCCGAGGTAAATCGCTGGCCTTTTCATCAACCCTACCTGATTGGAAACATGCTAAAAGCTGGCTCTTTGCAGTGGTGTTAAAAAGCATGTCAAATGTTGTTGTGGAAATTTGTATTTTATCTGGTGTTAGACTGGATGACAAGAAAGCCACATTGATTGTGATAAAAAAGTAAGTTATTTCTAGACAGACTAAATGGGTTTTCTATGTGTGAGATATGACAATTTGACCCTTTCACATAAATCATGACAGACAGGCTTTCTTTAATTGGAGACAAGTCATGTGATCCAAGTCAAAATGCCATGCCCCATGGGTAGAAAATGCATTTACTCTCTTTAGAAACAATTTACTTTTTTATCATGTTTGCACACAAGACAATATCACTGCACTTTGACTTTGTAGGAGGAGGGTCTTTCCGCATCAAGAGACAAAGGTCAAAGTCCTTGAATGAGGGGAAAGGTATATAGCATACGATGTGGACCTTTCTCCAGTTTTGCAGTGACTCTTTGCTTTACTTCCTTCTATTGATGTTGCTGTATTCTTTGTGGGATGCCCTGTGTTTCAGAGATCATTTATTGGAAATTAGCCTCTGTTATCAGTATAAATGTCTCTGCAGTATCTGGAAACCAAACCCAGGGTGCCAGACTCTGGAAACCACAGAGCTATGCTGACAGTGGAGGCAGTTTCCAGTGATCTCTTCTGAAGTTGCTATAATGTTTGTCTCTCTGTGTCACCCTGAGTTTCAGCAGTCAGAAACTAACTGGAAACCAACCTCAATTAGCACCATGTATGAATAATTAAAAGCATTTTCCAGTAACCAGATTCTCTGGGTGCTAAATTCTGAGTGTGGCTACTAGAAATAGGGCATTAAGATGATGAAGGTTAGTTGCCAGTGGTCTCTGAAACTCGGGGTACTTTAGGTGCTCTTGCATTGGCTGTGATAGAACCCTCTCTTAGTTAAGTCATTGAACTTGTCACAGTCATTTGTTGTCATTTCGACAACTGATTTCTTCTAGTAAAAAATTATCTTTATTCCCGTCGTAGTTATTGCAATGTTGCCTGCATAGAAAAGGTGGTCTGCTGCTTGGCTGTTGACAACACTCTGTGGTGATGTCATAAAAACGTCTCAGAATCAATTTTCAGTAACACAAAATAACTTAAGACTAAAATTTAACCTTTTTAAATTCTGGACAAATTTATAGTAGTCTGCTAAAATGAAGTAAAATAAAGTAACTGCTGGACTTATTATTCTACAACTGGTAGAACAGCTTTTGGTTTTATGTTCTCCCTGAAAAGCTTCTTGCATTTTAATCAGTGACACTAGTCATCTTCTGCCTGGTGGTGCTTTTCTATTTGTAGGATTTGGTGTCAGTGCTTATTACTTGGCTTTAAGTTACTGTGTGCTTACACCCCATTTCCATAGATTAGATCGACCTACTTTAGATCGACCAAATTCCTGGAGGTTCACGCTAAATAGCTGTCAGCTGGGCGGACACGAAAGTTAATTACCCCCTTACAGCTTGTAGTAGGCGGGACGGACATTTAAGTCGGATTATCTGAAAGTAATCTAGTGAGACTCCCCGCAGGGATAGATCGATCTAAAATCTATGGGAATAGAGCCTTAAACACCCTGAGTTTCAGAGTTTTCTGGAAACTAGCTCTAGTTATCAGCATGCTGAAGTCTTCTCCAGTGACCAAACTCTCAGAGTGTGAAATATAGTGTGATCTCTGAAACTCACAGATGACTTGAATGACAAAGTAAAACTTTGTTAAGTATGGATAAGAGCTATGAAACTACTGACAGTATGCTTTCTAAAAAGTACATGCAGTTACTGAGTTTACACAGTTTAACATTGTTATATTAAATCTAGTTGGGAAATAATTTACTAAAGTTTTAAGTTACATTAATGAGGTTACAATTTTTCTACTGCCCTTACTATGAGCAGTTCATTCAATACGTACAGGGGTATCGTTAACTTTTGTTTGTTTGTTTTGTTTCACTTTCCCAAGTGGAATTCTAGGCTTTTTACATTTTATTTAGTGAGAAAATAATCTGCACTAAGCAATTTTGCTTTTCTAAAAAAAATTCAGTTTTTATTAGAAATTTTAACAATTTCAAGGCACTTAGTACATAGCTTGTCTTAGGTGCAGAGAAAAAAATTGATATTTTAAAAGGAATCAAATTAGGTAAGGTATTTAATATTGAGTGTGGCTAATAGGTATTTTCTCATGATGTTGGAATTTGCTTTGTTACAAACAAGAGAAATCTTATCAGTATCTTTAGTTATTTCTTTTTAAAATTTTTGGCATGTTTAGAAGTGTTGTCTGTCAGCTTTTTTTTTTTGTCTTTTTTTATTTTATTCTGATTAACTTAACCCATTTACCTATTGTTAATTTATTGATTCATTCTTTTATAAATTAATTCACTTATTTATTTTCTCATTTTCTTTCCAAAATGATATTATTTATTTTATGTCTTCTGTTATGTTTTTTTTAATACTTGAATAGCAAAAAGGGGAAAAAACTTACATAATGCATTCAGTTTGCTTCAAGTTTTGTTGTTGTTTAATTTTAAAAAGAGCACATCTGTAACTGTTATGCCTGAAATGCACATTCAGAAAGTTCAGGACTAATATTTGTAATTGGATTGTGCGACGTCCTCCCTTTCACAAGCTAGACTGTCACCTTGATTGGCTATAGAATTCAAAACCAACAAAAAAAAATAAAACAAGTTTTAATATCATGCTTTAATACCATGCTGTCCAGGATAATACTTATCCTAGCTGAGTATATAATGTGATGTTATTTTTTTATATTTCTCCAGAGGTACAGGAGAAGATTCAGGACAACTCCTACGAGACACGTCGTAAGCAGGCCACCGCCATTGTGATGCTGGGGGTCATTGGTGCAGAGTTTGGTCAGGAGATCGTGTCGTCGCGAGGTGGTGACCAGCAGAAGGGGGTGGTGGAGGGGTTCAGTATTAACCAGGCGCTGGCCAGGAGGACAAGTAAGAGGGGAGACTTTTTAAGGCGCATTTACAATTGACTTGGGCAGATATAACTTGATATTTGTAGCCAAGAATTTTGTCAGCTTTGTTATGCAGTCAAATTTTTTTTCAAATTGGTTCTCAGGTGTAGGCCACTGTAAGGCCACTGTAACACCTGTAATACATGTAGCTCCAATCCCTGTAAAAAAAGGTGTTTTGCTTGACACTAACACATATTGAAATGAGAGTGAAAATGGCACCAATAAACTGCACATAAGTCTAAGTGTAGTGTCAGGTTATAGATTTGTTGATCTGGTTTCCAGGTAATGTCCAACCATATTCAGCTACACATGTATGCTCACTTTCACTCTATTTTCTGGCAACGCCCAATCAGACTTATTCATGCTCATTTCCCATGACCTTCTTCCAGGTAATGCCCTGACCTATCTCCTTCTGCAGCCCTCCAGTCCTCAGCTCCCAGCAAACACACCTATCAGGAGAGCCGCCATAGATTTGATTGGACGCGGTTTCACGGTGTGGCAGCCATATTTAGATGTGTCAGCAGTGTTACTGGGTTTGTTGGAATTGTGTGTGGATGGAGACAAACTGGTGCCCAGGTAAAATTTGATTGATTTTTAAGGACATATTTTTGATATGTGCAGTTTATAGTAATAAATGTTCTACTACATGTACGTCTAATTAATATTATGCTCTCAATTTATGTATGAGTTTATCTGAATTTAATTGTATCATCTGCCATTTCCAGTACCCTCTAAAAGCTCAGGGTGTTACTGGATTGACCTAACTCCCTGGGGGTTCATGCTAAATTGCTTTCAGCCGGGTGCGCACGAAAGTTAATTTACCCCCTTACAGCTTTTAGTAGGCGGGACAGACATTTAAGACGGCTAAGCTGACAGTAATCTAGTGAGACTCCCCATGGGATAGATCGATCTTTAAAATCTGTGGGAATGCAGTCTATGTCTCTGTTGTTTTCAGCTCAAGGTATGATGATAATAATAGAGGTCAGATACCACTTCATTCTGAATCTTGGGATGCATTCTCTTTGTGCTGTATCTGAATTGCTACAGTCTCCTTTGTCCCATAAAATGACTGCTATCCTCTCTATTCCAGCATGACATTTGGTCTGCCTCTCAGCTCACAAGCAGACGCATGCAGAACCGCACGTCATTCACTCGCACTTATTGCGACAGCACGACCACCTGCATTCATCATCACCATGGCAAAGGAGGTGGCACGATACAACGCCATGGCTCAGAATGCACAATCCCAGAGTCCTTCACTCCATACGTCGGTGCTAGTACGAGGGAAGTCGGAGATCATGAGAGTTATTGAACACTTGATTGATAAGTTGCCTAATGATGTGGCAGAGTTGATGGTAGAGGTAAGGAATAGCTTGTACTATATCAACATGGTGAAATTAGATGTTGACTTTGAATTCATGAATTAGTGGCTAAAATCTGCAATCACATTTGAATTAATTTTCCAATTTTTAATAAAGGACATAAGTTAATAATACAGAAACTGATTCATTAGAAAATTTGTATTTTAATTTATGTATTCTTTTATCTATTCATTTGTTCAAAAATCCTGTTTGAATTTGTTCACATTCGTTGTTTATTTAATAATTTATTTATTTATAATTTTAAAGGCCTATTTAATTTTGTATATTTCCCAGGCCATGGACATCACAGTCCACTGTCTAGACCACACTGCAGTGAAGACCAAGGGTCTCCAGGAGGTGTTTGCTCCTATCTGTAAGTTCTGTATTGTTAGCTATGACACCAACTCCAGGAGGATATGTGTAGGAGCCAGGAATGGAGGACTCACCTTTTATGAGTTAAAGCATGCCAAGTCTCAGGTGAAAGTCATGGTGTTTTAAATTTATAGCTCTGTGGTATAATAATTTAATATATTGATTATACAGTTTATATGTGTCCAAGGTTTAGTATGCCAAGTCACTGGTAGGAGAGAATTTCTTTCCTGAATACTATGTACTAAATACTAGTATTTTTGTACCTTATATACTGTAATAGTTCGTATAGTCATGAAAAAAAGCATATTAAGCCAAAGGTGTGAAATAGTTATATGATATTTATATTTTTAGACAGGTCTCATTTTTACATGTGAAAAAGTTTAGGAAACCATTGTTAAAACCCTCAAAATTTATTTAAGGGGTTACTTAAAAAATGGAAAAAGCAAGCTTTTAAATTCTTTGTGAAATCAAACTCAAGCTGTCTGTCTCTGTTATTTCAGACCATCCCAGCTCACAGCAAGCCTATCACAGCAGTGTGTTTCTCACCTGACGGGAAGTTCCTGGCAGCATACTGTCATGAGGAGAAAAGACTCACCTTTTGGCAGGTAAGAGAAATGGATTATATTATGATTTCTTTTATTACTTATTTATTTTTTGTAACTGTAAACTCGAAAAGAGGAGGAAATCTTTAATAATTCTGTACAGGTAAGATTGTGGTGTGAATTTAGACTGTCATGTGAATCTCAAAGATTGTTCCATTTCATTGTCTTGGAAACTAAAAATTGAGTAGAATAATTACCACTATTACCAGTAACAGAAACATTGCCTACATTTGATGATTCATTATTACTATAACGGTAAAGCAGATTTTCATAGCCCAATTTTCTGAGACCACACAGGAAGAATGCAGCACTTGTCAGACACAAACTTTAGAGAAAGATTTTATTTTTATTTAATGTTGCTCTTCATGCATCTTCTTCTTCATCTCTCCAGGCATCCTCTGGTTCTCTGTTTGGTATTGGGCAGCAGCATACGAAATGCGTGAAGACATTCAGCACTCCCGCGTTCCACGTCAACCCTGCCATGAACGTCCTCAAACTGGCGAGACTGATCTGGACGGACAACCGCCAGGTGGTGCTGCTGATGCTGGACGGCTCCGAGACACGATATAGAGTTTAGTTTTATGACGCTGTCCATGACAAGCCAGCGTCGTGATTCTCTCACAAAAGACAAAAGACACAAAAGGAAAGAAAACAAAGAAAATAGAACTATGAAGAAGTAAAAATTCAAACACAGATATGATGTTGTTTTTAATGTTGCTTACAATAGAAGATAAAAGTTTTCTGGCAATGAATTATCTCTTGCTGTGTAAAAACTAGACTTGAATTTTTTTTTCCTGTCAAAGAATAGAGACATGTATATAATGCTAGAAATGTAAAATGATATTTTCTGGTGATAGGCTGACTATGAGATGAGAGGTGAAGTAGATCTCAGTCACTCCTTACAATAGAACCAGGATCTTGATGTGTTCAGACATGTTGACACAACTTTTAAAGTATGAAGTTGTTTTCAACATGTCTGAACACATCCAAGATACTGGTTCTGTTGTAACTAGTGACTAAATTATAAATATGGTACGTCTTTTTCTGTGAGAAAGTTAAGAGATGAATATGAGAAGTAGACATTTAATTTTTTTTTAAATTATTTTTCTGTCAAATACAGGTGCTTTTTTCTGTTTTATTATTATTATTATTATTATTATTATTATTATTATTATTTCATATACAGTCTTTCTGTATCTGGGTAGGTTTTATCTACAAGATGTATAACATTTTTTTGTCGCTTGAAACGAAAATTGTCAAATATGCTTTAAATGTCATAAGCAACAGAAATGATATGGTGCACATTTTTGTCTATAAAGTAGGATGACAGTATATTGAACAGAGCAGAGATTGTGATGATATCAACATTATATTATGGTAGTTATAAATAGTATGACAATTAGATCTATTTGTGGAATAGTTATCCATTATCCAATTGTATAAGAAGATGTACATGTTCTTAAAGAGTTAAAGAGGGATTTTCCACAAAGTCAACATGAAAAACAAGCAAATAGAAAGTGCACAGCAACAGGGCTGACAGACACAGGTGATGGCTACATTTCTACATGTATTATGATTAGTGTCTGTCCATGAAAAGAAAGACGTGATGACATTTTTTGTTCCTCAAGTAAAGAAACAACCCATGTAGCACACTGACATACATAAAATATCAAAATGGTAAAGACCTTTGATATATTTAAATGGATGAATGGTCATGGTGCAATAGAAAATGCCTCAGTGCTGTGATACATCAAAAGTAGTGCTAAAATGGGAAATAGACAAGTTTACACAAAAGCACAGGTATATCTGTCTAGATGTCTTTACATTTGGTGCAGCAAAGCAGGTCTTCAAGTAAAAGATTGGATTTTCTTATCTTCTTATTTTCTCAAACTGAAGCCATTTCTGTTGCAGGTTTTATGAGGCCCTGACCTTTAACTAGTTTAGATATTGAAAATCATGGGAGAATAAAATAAATATTGAAGTAAATTTTTTTGTTCTCTTGGGTGACTTTATTATTGACATACTAATGCATATCAAAATAGGAATTCTTTATTTTGATGTCAGAACCTTGCAGAAGCTGACACACATTGAAAGTGAATCCCAGGATATATACAGGGTTTTAGCAAACAAAACCCAATATTATTGTAACCCTAATTTTAGAAGGGAAGTTTGACTGCTTCTTGTTTTGACAAGTTTAAAGGTTTGGTTTAAAGTCTTTATTTTTATCATGCTATATTTAGAGATGATTTGGCATAAAGTGTCATAAAATACTCATATCACATGACAAGAAAATCTACCCGAATTTCATAGCTGTTTATTCCATGTTTATGATAAATCAATCCTATTTTTCTATAAAACCATAAAGCAGATGCCTAAGAATATGAGACATTTTCTTCACCAACTTCTGGCCAGTTGTCTTTATTTGCTCCAGGTTCATGTTCTCAGCAGGTAGATTTCAAGGTGCTTTCTCGATTTAAACACAAAATACAAAAGAAGACAAAAAACTGAGGAACTTGAGGTATAATATTACAGAATGGATGCATACAAAATATGAATATCAATATTGATATAATGATAATTGAAGATCTAAGTTACATTTTTAAATGAAAAAATTCAAACTGTCTTAGTTGATTTTGTTTAAAATGGTGAGCCTAGTCTATATCATTCATAAAAAGTATGTTAATTAAAAAAGAAACATAAAAAAGAAACACCATACATGTTTACACAATCATTTTTCCATCTAAACCACACTTCTATTTTATTAATTTACGCTCTGCATGTGAACATGTTTATCACCAGTGACTACATTTACTGTTATATATGGACACTAAATAATATTAACTCAAATCTCAAAGTAAAAAAATTACAGGAACATGTGAAAACTGCACCCTATGGCATGGTGGTGGGGGAGGGAGGGGGGGGGCAGGGAAAGGAGGAGAGGGGTGGCTTATGCCCTGCTGTACAAGCTTTTATCTTATTATATAAATACAATCAACCACTGACAGCAACTGACTGGACATATCCCAGTACAAAATATCTGAAGAAATGGCAAAGAGATAGAGCCAATTATATTAAATATCTCTCTTCCTTTTTCCATTCCTGTAGGCCATCCAAGTCAAGCAATTATAACCAAACTACCACTGTCACACAACCAATCCTACACAAAATGCAGCATGCAGTCTGCGTGTTCCATCTTAGATCATTCAAGCCATTTTTCCTGCGATAATACAGACATGCCATGTGGAGGAGTTCATTTGTTATCACAGTTGGAAGCAGAATTCACATGTCATCATCTGAGTCATCTAATGCAGCTCTGCGCCTGTCAAACTGAAAGAAGAATAGGCCAATATATTATAACAAAAATATACTGGAAAATGTATAAAAAAGGTGATAACTTTTTTGTTTGACCATCAGTTTCCACGGCATTGGCAAGCTAAGTTTGTACACAAAAAGTTTACAAAACAAGATGGAAGCTGCAATTGTGTTAGCTGTGACCACAATTGTGTTAGTTGTGATCACATCTGTAAAATGCGTTTTTACCTTCACTTTGGTTTTCTGTGTCTGCTCACTCACTCTCTCCAATAGTGACTTCAGTTGATCTTCACTTAGCTGAAAATTTCAAAGCAAAATTATCAAATTAGTGTGTGTTTGTTTGTGTGTGTGTGTGTGCGTGTGTGCAGACATAAGAGAGAAAGAGTGTGCACTTTTTTAATAAAAATTTTAAAAAATTTCAAAATTTATCTATTAATTCATTTTATTTGCTTAAAGTCATGAATTATCTTAATACACGTCACATCATTTTTACATCCAATCCTGAATTGATATGCATCATTTATTACAAGTTCAGCTCTAAATGTGTATTAAGTCATTTTTACTTTATCTGTTTCACTTCCTTATATAAGCATAGGGCCACAAAAGTGTTTCTCCAAAGCCTTTTGTTCTGGAAGCCTTTTTTAGCTTCATCCCTGATTAAAATTTGGCAGTCAAGCATTATGTATATCATTACCTTTGTCTGTATCTGTCCCATCTGTGTCATTTGAATGAGCATGTCTTCCACCTTCTTGGCTTTATCTGGTTTGGCCACAGCAATGGTATTTACTGGCCAAAAATAATGAAAAGTTTCAAATTAAATGAAGAGAAGAACGACATAGTTTCCTTACATGACAATGGCATTTACAATACTGTAACAGTCATATTTACTGTTACTTTAAATATAATACTATAAAAATTGAGCAGATAGTTTTTTTTCTATTTTCATCCTTCTTGTAGGACCCACTGAAACTGTAATGCACCACATAAAGAATGGCAAATTCCTAGCTGAATTATTATAATAATTTATTAAGATTATTATTCTCATCCAATGATACTGATGACTAAGTTCAACTGACTGGTATCAAATATGATAAAGACAGACCAACATTAGACTGCGATGAGTCATGTCATAGATATAGACCACTGTGGATACAATACATGGCATTTAATATCCTACTCACGCCTTGCTCTAGCTTGCTGGTCTAGCACCTGAGATAGAATGCTATTTCTCATGTCTGCTTGTTTTGCCTTCATCTCCTCCTGTTCTTCCTGGGAAGGGCCTCCTCTCCCTCCTCTTCCTCCCTAATGCCATACAAGACATTGATAACATTAAACATGAAATGAAAATACAGGAGCAGATATTCAGGCTGATTAAGTCATGCTGAAGAATCTGCCTTTTGATCCAGACTTTTGACTTCATTAAAAATCTTAAAACGTACATAGGCTGGCATTTTTTAAGCAAACATTTTACTGATTGATTCATCATAGAAACACAACTGGAAATAGCTAGGCGTTATTTACTGATCAACTCTACTGACTGTGGTTTTAGAAGAGATCACATTCTAAATGATAAAATTCAACACAAACGATGTGATAAAACATCAAATGACAACACGACGGTTGTAACTCTGTATTTACAGTTTGTTTTATTTTTGTTAAATGTCTCATTTACCTGTTGCTGGGCCTGCATTTCAGCCAAACGCCGGGCCCGAATTGCCTCAAGTTCACTGTCAGCCATTTCAAACGTTTCGATCGACGGCCTCTTCTTTCCCATTCCAGCCAAGAGGAGCCAAAGAAACAAACATGTCAACATCCGGAAAGTCAGTGAAAGAGGTTTTACAAGCGTTCCTTGAGAACTTAGACCTTGTAATAGATCAGCTTAGAAGTAAGTCATGTTTTCTATAAGTATGACTGGCCAAATGCATAACAAGAAAAAATGGATAAAGCTTAAGAGAAAAGTGAGTAACCATAAGAAATGACATAGAAGTACATGTAGCTTCTATGGAAATGAGCACGTGGGTTACCAACTTGCCTACACACAGGCTACAAATCCACTCTCTATCATTTTACGGCAACCTGGTTCAACGCAAGTGATGGTTTGATCGGAAAAGTGAATTTCTTTCTTAGCCGGCTCGTTCAAATGCGACCGGACAACTATGTAATTTTCATGCCGCTCAGTTTTAATTTCCACAGCAGTGTAAATGTGAAGTTTTAAAGTCAAAACTGCTGTGCTTGTGTGACAAAAAGTGTTCCTACTAGCTATGCCTATGTACTGGTACGCATGATCCTATCAATACGAAATATAACGTTAAATTGACACTAAGTCTAAAACATGGGTAACACAACGTTGGATTTTTTTAAAGTAACAGTACTAATTTTTAAATTTTTATTTATATACTTATTTATTTATTTGTTTATTTATTTATCTATCTATCTATCTATCTACCTATCTATTTATTTATTTATTTATTTATTTATTTATTTATTTATTTATTTATTTATTTATTTATTTATTATTTTTTCTGGTAGTAGCACTAATTAGTATATCTTTGACACATATTATACCTGCATCTAATATTTTGGCAAATTACTGTTCACGAAAGTATAACATTGTCCTGCAACAAATAAAAGGTGCAAATATTTTTTAAGGATTGCAATTATACATGTATGTAAAAATTGATTTCAATATTTCAGAAGGAGAATCAACCAGAGCTGATACTGGCGATTTTCAGGTTGATAAGTACTGGACCCATCTAGGTAAAATATTACATATAGATTAATATACTGGATGTGGGAATACCCCATTATTTGATTTTTTAAGCATACCATGACTATTTCTGCTGTGATGTAATATGTTGACCAATAAATAAATAAATTCATTAATTAAAAATTGATTTCAATAATGGTGAGAATACAAACTGAAATATAAGAAATAAAAAGGGGATAAAGTATCTGTATTTGATAGGTACATGTATGCTTATCTTAGATATACCTTCCAAATTCATTTCATACTTAATGGTATGAAATTAAGTCAGGCTTATTAATATTCTATATATTTATTTCATGAATTATTATCATTATTGCTATATTAATGTCCAGGTGCTGTAGTGAAGGCTGTGTCCCATGAGTGTACCAAGTTATGCATCGCCTTCTCCACTCCTCCACTGCCTGCTCCTGAGGTTTGTGTCTGTTGATGCACAGTGTGTCAGTATGTGCATACGTGTTTGTGTGTGTTATAGAGAGAGTGAGGGAGAGGAGGGAGAGAGAGGGATGGAATGAAAAAGAAAGCATGCACAACAAGAAGTTTTTTAATGGGTTTATATATCAGAGAAATGAAATTAAGATGATTCACGAAAACATTTGCAAATTTATTTGCAAACGGCATAGATTGGCAGGAATTCATGAAAGCAAAAAAAAAAAAAAAAAGGAGAGGAGAGGACACTGAATCAAAAAGAAACAGACTATTTGAAAATAGTTCTAGTATTTTGTTCTAATGTCTTAATTGAGAATTATTTAATTTGTTTCAGGAATGTTCAGGTCTTGTTTCTGGTCTAGAGAGAGCCACACTTGCACTGGTGTCAGCTTTTTATTCTCTACCCACATCACAAGGTAATGAACTAGGCACACCCTGTCACAGAGAGTTATCGCCTAATACTACACGCACATGCACACACACACACGCATGCATGCATCCATGCATGCACACACACACACACATGCCTTATATGTACAACATGTTTTTATGTCAGTGCCAATATCACACTCGAGAGCTTTTCATTTTCCATATTCAAACATGAAGCAAAACAATGCCCATATGGGATATTAGATTTGGGATTATGTCAGCTACCTTCAAGTATTTCCTTCACTTAGTTTTATATGTAACAAAAGTAGTTCCTCTATACCAAGAAAACAATAGACTATAATTGGTGAAAATACAAAACCTGTCTTATACACTCGTACTGGTAAGTATTAATAAAAAGATTCATATGACTGCATTTTCAAACAGAGGGATTATAATCTTGTTAGTAAAATAGTTACAAATTACAATACACAATGAAAGCAGTGTGGAATTGTCAAAAGTCTGGGTTGGTAGCTTCATTGTTTTCATGATATATGTTCGTGTGGTTATACATTGTTTTTCATACTGTCCCATACAGTTTTGTATACTGTTGACAGATATTCTCTTACTGGATTTGTTCCTTCTGACATTCAGCTGTCATGATTTCATATTGGTCTGTTTTCTTGGTATCATCATTTTGATCTTGAAAAAGTTGATTTTATACGCCATGGCCATCAGCATCGCCCATTTGAAAACCTTGGTTCACGTACTGTCTCTCGGCTTCTTTTTGGAACTGAGTACTTCTTCTCTGGAGTTCAAGCTCAGTATATTGGTGCTGGGGCTCCTGTTCTCCTAACTGTGAATAAGTATTTTCACAACCTTCAGCCTGATTCCTGTTGGTTTGGTCAGTGTAGTCGGCAGATTGGGCTTTTTGAAATCTTCTCATTCTTAAGTGACAAAGAAAAAAATCTTCAGATACAACTGTAACCTTAAGATGTGATTATTATATGGTTATTTTGTACAAGGTAACTTTTTCACTTCTTTAGACCTTTTTGGATATTGAAAAAGCAGACACAAAGTGACATGACCTATGACACAATTTTACATATGGCTTTGAGGCTCAGCTTGTTATTTTATCCAAGTTGTTTGCAACAGGTCTGCAGAAGAAATAAAGAGCCTTAAAAAATAACACTCTTAGTTTTGTTTCTGAAATCAGGTCTTTTGGGCCCTCCCTTGCTCTTATTACAGATAGAGGTTGTATAGAAAGAGGAAAAAGTTAAAAGTTCAGTTCACCTGAATATATAGCTGATAGCAGCTATATTAAGAATCAGCAGCACTGTTGATATGGCCCCCAATGTGCCTCCAATGACAGCACCTACAACAGTGGATATACTGTGCTTTAAATGACTCAAATTGTTATCTGTATATTTTCACTAACTAAGGGTACAGTGTGTGTGTGTATATGTATGTTTGGTCCAGGCTGATTTATTTCGTTAAATTTTCCTTCAGCTACTATATGGGTAGAGCACTTTTATCAAGTGAATTGACTATTGAAATCTACAAGTAGATTATGTAGTCCCTGTGAAGATACTGCAGGTCCAAATGTTTTCCAAGACATGATTTAGGATTGGGCCATATACATGTACCAGTATCTTATAATCCTTTCTTTTACTAATCACTCATTTCAACAAATATTGTAGTATTTACAAAAAAAAGAAAGCAGAGAACATTGAGATCATTGTCTAAAAATAAATGCTAGTTGGTCTAGTGAACATTTAGGCTGATCATTGTTCAATTTTTATCAGAATTGTTGTACAAAGTTTAGCTAGGAATTGTGATTAAATAGGCATTCAAACTGTAAAACAGTTGTTTACATAAGGGTCTGTTTGAAATCAATATTATAGTTTTCGACAAAAAATGCTGCTGTAACATTCCCCCTGATGTTTCCTTATGATGTCGCAGCATTAGCTCTTAAGTTGATTATATTGTATTTTAAGTTACATTACATACATTGAATTCCATCAATCCTTATGTTGCTTGTAGGTGTTCTTGTGGTAAATGTTGACCCTAAAGTATCATAATTAGTAGTTCCCCGTGTACTTGTACTGATAATAGAACTAGAAAGAGGCACGGCTGTTGCAGGTTTTCCATGCTCTACTGTCTCTACTGCTGTTGTTTCCTGTGTACTAGTAGCAGTAACCAGAGTTGTAGACATTGGAGAAGTGTATGTTGTTGGGGTTACTGTAATGACAGTAAGTGTAACAGATGTTGTTGTTATTGTCATCCCTGAACAGGTATAAGTAACAACAAGGTTGTTGGTCCTGTTAGATGGACAACCTAACCAGTGTGGGAGATATCTGCTTTCTGTAATAAAGCTGCAACTCTCTCTGTTATTACATATAATTGATGAGGTAAATAGTAAGTTCACATTGCAGTTTGGTATGCTTCCCCCAGAACAATTGTTGTCTGTTGATAAGGTGTAACCATACAGTGCCTCAATTACTGTGATGTTGAACCCTGGGGGACACGTGAGAACCATGATATCTCCTTCACAGCTTGACCTTGTAATATTACTATGTTTTCCTTGCATTTTTGTCTCTGTTGTTGTTGTTGTTAGCATTATTGTCATCTCTGAGCAGGTATATGTAACAATAAGGTTGTTGGTCCTGTTAGATGGACAACCAGACTCTTGTAGCACAAATCTGCTTTCTGTAATATAACTGCAGGTTTCTCTGTTATCACAGGTAAGTTGCATGCCAAATGGTATGTTCCTGATACACTCTGGTATACTTCCCTCAGAACAGTTGTTGCCTGTGGATAGTGTGTAGCCAAACAATGCCTCAAGTACTTTAATGCTGGACCCAGGGGGACACATAAGAACTGTGACATCTCCCTCACAGCTTGGTACTGTAATATGACCTGCAAAAACAGAAAAAGAGAAAGAAGTTGCAGTGACATTGACAGTGTATTGTTCTAACATATATTTTATAACAAACAGTGCATGTAATATTTGCTTTTTACTCATATTTTCTATAAAGTGTGCAAAAATTGTAGAAATGTCATTTCTATAAAGTTTTGAAAAATCTGAATGCATTTGATACTTTGCAGGGATAAACGTAAACATTTGCACTGAAAATACATGTATGTAAGAAGATTTGAACTTCCTCCATTAAACTAATAGCAAAACTCCCAA